TGTAGGACCAGGGTTACTTCCACTCACTTGCTATAAAAACATGTTTTTCGGAATTATAAAATCATAATATAGTATAATACTAATTAGTACTTGTAAGTTACAAAAAGAGATCATGAAGTATATGTAAAACACATAAAATCTGTCAAAATTGCTTTCAGTGAGAGCGTCACAATCAGCGATTTTACGACTCGTGAGCGCTCACTCTGAGTGAACGCTCACGAATCATAAGATCCCTAATTGTGACGCTCTCAAAGCGAAATTGACAGGTTTTATGAGTCAAACACATATTTTACTACTTCTTCTTGTTACTTACAAGTAAAACATAGCATTATTGCATCTAATGATTGCATAATTCCGAATAATATTTTTTATAGCAAGTGAGTGGAAGCAACCCTGTGTAGGACAACAAACTATTAATGTGACGGCTGAGGAAAAAGTCAGCAAAAAGATTAGCAGAGCAAAGCGGTGAGGAGGAGGTATGGGACTGATAAGTGACGTTGTCAGGAATCGTAGCAGAGTTCTTCCGGCTCTTTATAGAACCGCAGAATGACGAAGGATGGTGCTTGAGGTTTTCTGGAGAGGAGCTGCATGTTTTTTGTAGTCCTCTTCAACCTGTTGAAGTTCTCTCCTGTGCGTGAAATTTTGGTTGCGAAAGTAGACTCTAGCGGGTCGTCGGACGTTCAGCGGAACTGTTTCTCTGATAATATCGTCCAAAGTGTCGTAGAGTATAAATACGGAGATGTCGACGGAAGCTTGATCCAGTAAACGGTTCCAGTCCAGGGAAGCAATACGTTAACGATACGGTAATCACAGCAAGTGAAGTCAGGCTCCAGACGAGGAGTGTAGTCTTTCATCAGAGAGCGGGTGTTGATTGTTAAAACGAACGGCTTGTGATGAGTGTCAACTCTAAAGGCCCACGCACATTAGATCCGGATCGGACGCGTAGCGGCAAAGTGACAGCTAAATCTATTGTCTAACTGTAAAATTGACGTCAACGCAACGCAAACGGATCTAATGTGGGCCCTTAAGAAGTGCTGACGGATAATCGATAAGGTTTACACGGTCCGAGTCGGTAACAAAAGCCATGTCAAGAAGCTTACCGTTCTCGTTCAGAAGATCGTTGATCTGATTAAATCTAGCTGACAGCATAGTATCTACTAATGCTAGTTCCTGCTCCGCCGATGCGTTAAGTGGTAAAAACACATTAGATTCCTCGTCCATGGTCCACACATAAAGTGCAGAAACTCAGCGATGAGTAAATTTGCCTCATGTTTGTTAATGGCTAGCCAGATGGGCTAGTTTAAAGGGATTCCCCTAACCTCTGGTCTAGCCACGGAGATCGTCTGGGGTGGGCTTTTGTTGGCTAGCTCGAGCTTGAAACCCTGGAGCTTCAAGGTCGGCTCCTGGCTTGTCGACACTGATCCGAAGTACAAAACACCTCTTTATCACTTTTCACTCGTTTATTACTTACGATTTCGGTGTCTGTAGTGTGTATGTGTGTGTAGTGCTGGCCAGCGATGACGGGATTCTGCAGCGGGTGGGGTTTTTCGGCGGCGGATGAACGGACTGTTCACAGTATATGCCGGTGCTCGACGTTTCTCACCGTGTGGCACGACGAATGTGGCACTGGGGCTCGATCGGGTGATCGACGGTGGTCTCTCAGTGGTTGTCGGTATCTTACCGATGGACGCTTGCTACACGGGTGTTGGCGGGTTAACGGACGCCCTCGTGGTTTTAGCCCGTAATTAATATGTCCTAAAGGAAATATGAGAGGTGGTCTTAGGGCTGGGAATCCCGCCACCGGGTTATTGATTGGGTCCTACCTGACTCCGTATGCGGTGGTATTATCCGGTATTTGTTGGTAACTCTTCACTATTTTTTTTTAAACTTAAAGCAAACTTGGCAGATTGAACTATCTCGCGCAATGGCTAAAGTGAAAGAGAACCTTCTCTTCAGTTTAACCGCAGACAACAAATCAAGAAGACTGGCAACTCTTCCGTTTTCTCATACGAACGCTATGAGACAGGTACAATCGCGTCATCTGCCGCTCAAAAGTAAATGCTTCGAACGAATTTGATAGCAAAGATTGCATCCTCAGAAGAAGGGTTTGTGTATTTGCTCATTTTTCTATGCGTTGCTTCCACCTTCACTCAAGCGCAGCGCCATTGTATCTGTTGCTTAGATTCTGGCAAAGTTGCCAGTCTTCTTGATTTGTTGTCTTCGGTTTAACCCAGTAGCTTCCCCCTTGACCTAAGCCCATTTCCACCTCCCTCCCACTTTTCCACCACCCCTTGTCCATATTCTTCTCCTGTTTCCAACGCCCACCTTCATCCTTACTCCTTCCCGTTATGTATTATGTGTTATGTGTTGTTGGTGTGACTCGGTTACAATTTTTAATTGGACCGTTGGTTTGGGAGTACATATTTACTTACATTCAAAACAAGACAATATTGCATACAAGAAACTGACATACAGATTGAATTCACAATGAATACACATATACCCTATTCCTCGCTCTCGCTATCTCCTGATTTTTCTCTCTCGAAGTGAACCAATAGGGTACAGAAACCAAAACGGTAACATGTTTTTCCAGGTTTGTCCAGGAAGAAATTCCCGAATATGAGAAAAGTAACGATTGGATTCACTCACACACTTAGAAATAACTATTTTTACACGAGACGTAATCCATCTTTGACGTAAATTATGGAACGTAAACAAATATGTCATGTAAAATTAAGTGTTCCTAAACCGAAGCATACGCAACTTGACGAAAAGTACGCTTGATTGAATTGATTTTCTCGTTTCTTTCAACTGATTCTTATGTCATTTGGGCCGCTTGCATGTGTCGGTCTCAGGGAACGGAAATTTACATGTTTTTTTTCGTAGTGTGCAGCCTATTGGTACTACTCCTAGTCTGAGTAAAATTTTCGCCGAATTTCCTTATTTTCTGGCAAATTTTTGAAGTTTTCCACAGAAAAACATGAGGCATATTTACGCATTACTGAGTTCTTGCACTTTTGGCGATTATGAGTAAACTAAACTCAAATTTGGGTCGTTCCATTCTCCGTTTACATTCTAATACTCTTCGGTTCATTTTGTCCGATAGTAAAAAAAAAGTCCCCATGGGATTTGTCGTTATCAGGGTACATCGCGGGTTGAAGCACTATCTCATCATTGGAATGTAAAACAATGCATCGATCGTCATCATTTCATCAGTTCAGTATAATCTAATCGCAACCTTTTCAATCATATTTCACACCGCAGTGCGGTAGCCGTAAGGGGTATGTTTACATATGTGCTGATTCATAATGCTGATTATCCAAAAGTGATGCAATCCGATCAAGAATGTGGCAGAAAAACTGTTGACATCATAGGTTTGCAAACGACACGCCCACCAGCACGTGAAAGTTTATTTTTTATTTTTTTTAAACTTTATTTCAAGAGCAAATTTTCATTTTGTCGAAAGTAACAGACAGCGAAACGACGAACGTACACTTTTCACGGGTTTCTCTGCGCTGTTACTTAAGACAAACGGCATCTCCATAGAAATCGGGTGACTTAAATAACATCGGAAAATATGGTGATCGTGATATACGTCAAAAAGCAATTTTACTGGTAAATAAATTTAAAAATGGGATGTGATTCTATATTCGGACAGTATATAGTGTAATAGCAGGAGCGTCGATTGACACTGTTAGCTCAACTTTGGTTAACCTTTATTACTTTCGACGTCATTAAAATTTGCTCTTGATTTAGAACACGTGAATCAGCACAAGTGTTAACACCTCATAAACAAACCAATCATATATTTTTTACACCCGTACTCACCCATATTTTAGATACACATTCCAAAATGTCCTACCTGCTTGGATCGATTTTCTTCATTGGCGTTCTCTTTCGTTAATAACTCACAGCAAACTCATCCCCAATTGTGTTATGCGTTTTGAGCGCTGGATGAGAACCTTCTTTATTAAACAATGTAGCAAAAATAGCACGGCATCTGTTTGCATAACCATGGTTATCGAAAAAGAAAGTCGATGATGAGAACCGATCAAAGCAGATAGGATCTTTCGAAATGTTCATCTAGATATGATTTCGAGATATACCTACTGAAAGTTGAACACGCAAAAATCCGGACTCATTAAAAACGCTGCCATAAAGTAAAATTTTCAAAATTTCACTGAATCAATCTAAGAGAGTATAGAATCGCAGTAGGCATTGGTTGTCAGGATAAGTTCATTTGTTTACATCATGGCCTTACCGGAGCAAACACGTCGCGATTCGATCCTGCACGCTCGAAACGAAAATCTCGGTCTATCCGCTCCTGGAAGTTTCCGATCAAATTCCTGGACAGGAGTTTCATACCTCGGGTAACCGGTAGACTGCCCCGGAAGAATGTAAAATCAAAAAGAAGTCGAAATTCCGCAAAAAGTTCTATATCTGGCAAGCAATCTGCAGATGTGGGTTGAATAGCGAAACTTACCAGGAGGAGAGCCTACGGAAGACAGTACTGTCTTTTCTGGAGCAGCATGAGGTGGATTGCCTATTCTGGCCGGACTTGGCAAGCTTTCACTGGTCAACATCCACCCAACGGTGGTGCAGCGAAAATGGCATCACACACGTTGCCAAGGAGATGAATCCGGTCAATATTCCAGAACTAAGGCCAATTGAGGAATACTGGTCAATTGGGAACTGCAATTTAGCGGAAATGTAATTTGCAAAAGATGCAAAAGATGATGATCCGTGTAGGAAGAAAAGTTTGAGCAATGGCCTATGGTAAGAAGGAAGACAAATGTATAGCTGTTACACTGAACTATGAAAAATAAACCGCATGTTTAAACCCTAACAACATTTTGAATCCGGATTTTTTCGTGCTCAACCTTTACCATCAGCATTGAGAGACTTAAAACTGAAAGAGATAAAATAATTTGGCTAGCACATCGACGTGCACCGCATCAACTCAAAATTTAGTCGTTCGTTGACCACGGTTACGATCAGTTCGTTCTCAAAAAGAAAAAAAAAAATGAGCTTCCTCAACACGGTGTTGTATTTGGTTCTACCGGCTGTTGGACTGCTGTACATCTACTTCCGTCGCAAGTACTCGTACTGGGCCGATCGGAATGTACCGTACGTGCCCGGCACGCTACCGTTGGGTTCCTTCAACGGTATGGGGTCCAAGTACCACTTCACCGAGGTGACGGATCAATTTTACAACCAGCACAAGAAGACCCACAAAGCCGTGGGAGTATATCTGTCGGTGAAACCGATTCTGTTCGTGAACGATATGGACTTGATCAAAACGATTTTGGTGAAAGATTTCAACAGCTTCCGTGATCGGGGCATGTACTACAACGAGAAAGATGATCCAATGTCGGCGCATCTGTTTTCGATTGAAGGCGAAAGGTGGCGCTTTCTTCGGAACAAGCTAAGCCCGACGTTCACTTCCGGCAAGATCAAGTACATGTTTCAGACGATTTGCGAGATTGGTGATGAATTTTTGACGTGCTTCGATAAGTACGTGGACGGAAAGCAACCGGCAGATTTAAAGGCTTTGGCGCAGAGATTTACCAGTGACGTTATTGCATCGTGCGCATTTGGATTGAAAACAAATGCGCTAAAGAATGAAGGCTCGGAATTGATGCAGAGGGGTGATAAGATCTTCAAACCCGATCGTTGGGAGACGATTAGGATGTTCACTGTGCTGAGCTACCGAGATTTATCCAGGAAGCTGGGAATGCGACAGTTGCCGAAGGATGCGACGGATTACTTCATGGATATCATTCGGGGAACGGTGGATCATCGAGAGAAGAGCAACGTGATACGACAGGACTTTTTGCAGCTATTGCTGCAGTTGAAAAATAAGGGAACAATCGACGATCACGAGGAAGACTCGAAGGATAAAATCACGATGAACGAATTGGCCGCACAAGCATTTTTGTTCTTCTTCGCTGGCTTCGAGACATCTTCGACAACTCTATCATTTGCTATGTTCGAATTAGCAAGCAATCCCGAGGTGCAGGAAAAGACCCGCGAAGAAATCACGCGTGTTCTGGCAAATCACGGCGGCCATATTACGTACGATGCGCTCAAAGAGATGACCTACCTGGACCAGGTCGTCAATGGTAAGTGGCTTATTTGTATTCCAAGCTCAATTTTACCAGCAAACAACATTCTTCCCCACCCGTAGAAACCCTTCGTAAGTATCCGCCCGTGGGCAACCTGATTCGCATTGCCAACGAACCTTACCGGATCGCCTCGCCCGAGGTCACCGTCGAAAAGGGAACCATGCTAATGATCCCAGTCCACCAGATTCAGCATGATCCGGAAATCTACCCGGAACCGGATCGTTTCGATCCGGAACGGTTCACCCCGGAAGCTGTCAACGCGCGCCATTCGCACAGCTTTCTCCCATTCGGCGATGGACCGCGAAACTGCATCGGAATGCGATTCGCCCTGGTGGAGGTCAAGTTCGGAATCGCTCAGCTGCTCAGCCGGTTGGGTTTCGGCGTGAACGGACGTACCCAGGTGCCGCTCCGCTACGATACCAAGTCCCAGCTGGCCGAGGTGGTCGGAGGCATCTGGTTGGATGTGCAGAAGATTTAAAAATCATCAGCGAAAAGACAAAAGAACACGATGACATCACACCGCTCGTCCAGTGAATCAAATTACGTAATGCTGAGTCGCCTTTGAACGAAAAATAAATGAGTAAATTAGAATTCCGGCAGTGAGGTCACACAAAAAAAAGTATAATAGATGGATATGTATATACGTGCTGAAGAAGTTAGTTCAGAGCAAATAACTGATTGGTCACTACTACTACTAGTATGGTGATCAGGCAAAGTGTTGCTTGTTTGCGTCGATGTGTACGGCCGTTGAATCTGACTCCTAATTGAGATGCGTTTGGTCAAATTCGTAAAATTGTAGGTCACTCTGGCTGTGTTCCGTTTGGTGAATTTTCACCTAAATTTCACACTTCGAAAATTCCGATGTTCGAGAAGGTTTTTTTCTAAATTGAACGGAACTCAAATATAAGTTGACTCAAAGGTCGTGCGGCAGCTCGTTTGTTTGACGAATGAAAAACTGTTGATCATGATGATGATGCCGAAACGCTAACATAAGTTAGAATACCTTTGTGTAATGTTGGGTAGAACTTGTTTCTGATGTATCAATGCATAAATAAACATATAGGACGCACAATAATAAAGGCACTGCCAAGGCAATAAAAAGAAAACTGCACCATCATATTCTGTGTTTGTTTCTAGCGCAGTAAGACCAGGAATTGTGTTATTATTTTGGTTGCCTATTCAATTGGTTGTTATTCAATTGGTTGTTATTCAATTGGTTGCCTTTCGGATTATTCGATGTACGTCCTGTAACTGATCTTCCTGCGAATCCTTCAGACCATATGGCAAACGTGAGCAGCTTGACAAAGAAATAGTCACCTTTCCTTTGCTACTATGGACATCTTCAATATGATGTCAGCGGTCTGACATTCGGGAAATCCATTGATGTTCTCCAAAGGCTTATGAGTCGAAGGCAGCATCTTTCACACCAAAGCCTGTTGCAGCTTGGCATGCGACCGCTCGAGATTGATTTTACGTTTCTTTAGGAAATTGTTCTGCTTCCGTAATTTATGATTTTCAGCTGTCAGTTTGGTTTGTCACTTCCTCTGCCAAACCATAGTAACTTTCTGAATAAAAGCATGAAATAGATTACAAATGAGGGGGTTGGAGGTGGAGGTGACTTTGATCGGTTCTCTTCATCGACTTTCTCTTTCGTTAATAGGTAATTCAGCTGCAAACACATTCCTTGATTCGTGTGCCATTCTGGATGCTAAATGAGAACCTTTCTTTATCAAACTATGCGGCAGAAATAGCGCAAAATCTGTTTATAAAGCTGTAGCTATCAAAAGAGAAAGTCGATGAAGAGATTCGATCAAAGTCACTTACACCCCTTTCCTTCTAACCTCCTCAAGTATAATCTTTTTCGAAGGTAGCATTCCAAAAACAACACGCATTTCCGTAAATATTTTGCATTACCTCCGACCAAATCGTTGAAACTAATCTCAATCATTTTACACTTTCGAAAAATGGAAATACGCACTATTCTGTCTAAATCTCACCAACACAGAAAAAAATTCTGAATATTAACTATCGCGTAGAATCTTCCTTCGTTCAACTTTGAGCTATACTTGGCATAAACAACGAAATTGTTTACAAGCTTGCATACAATATTGCTAATTTATGCGATATTGCACTTAAATTTACACGAAATATCGCGTAAATTTATGCCAAATCTAGCGTTAATTTTATGTGCGCTATATCTCGCAGAAATTTTTCGAACGATGCAGGGGTTAATCCGTGCATTGTTTCCTCTCATTCTTCATCGTTGTCATCAATACAACCATACAGATCGTTTTCGATATCAGATTCACCCGACGTCTCTTCAAATTGATATCAGTACCGCATGGTGGAGCAGTTTGCTCAACTTTACGACAACTTCGAGGCCTGCTTGAACCAGATTCATCGTTATTCGTTTCCTCTGGTCTTGGGCGAGTCTTGCCTGTTATTGATCATTTTGATCAGTGCCAATTTTAAGGAGGATTTTGGTCCTACAAAGTGAGTATTCTGAGAATTAGTGGAGCACGTTTAAGTAGTTTGCTCGACGAGATCTGCTTGGACCAGCTTGTGGTTCATCATCTAGACCAACAAAATTATTTGTTTCCTCTGGTCTTGGGCGAGTTTTGCTTAAGTTTGTTGATCGTTTTGGATCTTCAGTAGCCAATGCCAAGTAAGAGGATGGATCTTGGTCCTACAAAGCAATGATTCTGGGAATTAATGACCCCGGACTTAACGTCCCTTTGCTTTCCTTTGCCAAGAGAGGGTTTCTTGCTGTCAGGCGGCGACACGCCGGATCTTGATGATTTCTAATAAACAACAATACGAAGTGAGGCAATATTTAATTTTGGCTTGGCTGTCTGGCAATCACTCATCAGAACAAATTATAATTAATTAATTTGAGCTGATGAGTGATTGCCAGACTGTCAATCCGGAACTAAATATTGCAGTTATGGATGTGAGAATTCAGAGTTGATCGCGGATTGACTCATCCTCAATTCCGGAAACTCATTTAGCAGAAACTCAGAGTTTCTTTCGTTGGACAACTGAAGCACACGTTTTTTGGTGCAGTAGTACCACAGACAAACCGACCTAACTCTTAGAAGAAAATTCTTCAAAAAATATCGTCAATCGTATTTTGCATGCGCACTAGCACCATCTATCATCCACATTCCCAAGCAACATTTTTTTACCAGCTGCTTTTCCCTCGTTCTGTCAACGCGTCAGCTGTGTTGAATAAAAACAAAACAGATCGAAGTCAGTGATGCCGGTTCTACGAAATTTTCCGTAGATATATAGAATTGTTTGAATTCCGCGTAAATACGGATCAGTAGGAAAAATTCACTGAAGCTAAGACTTTTTTTTAGGGATTTGTTTTGTTTGTTTAGTGTGCTTTTTCTTTTGTGGAAACAAGTTTTAAACGAGGTAATGCATCACTTATTAGTACTCTTTCTACCACCGCTCATCACTTTAATGTATTACAGTAAAAAATATAATATGTATCAATCAATGAAATTCATGGTGAAGTATTGAACATCAATAACTGGTAAAAGGGGTAAATGTTGATAGAATATTACAGTCATCAACATGATTTGTTCTCGAATTCTGTGTTAATCGTGCAGCGTAATATTAGGAACGGAATGAATAATGTGCAGCACTTTTGATGTAATATTCAACAACTTTTTTTCTGTACTCATCAGATGTGGTATGTGTCTCCAGTGGGATGCCTTGACCACTTATCATTTTCAAGAGCTGACATCTACTAACTAGACGTGAAAAAGAACTGGCATCACTGATAACTTCGAAATGTGTTGACTTGCTCAGTGCTTCAGTGGCGCCACCATGACAAATGCAAGCACATTCCCAACTAAATCATTATTTGTGATGAGCGTTATGTCTGTTTGCCTGTGGTAGTACGTTTGCGAGCCATTTTAAGAAACCTTTAAAACTTATAGAAATGTTTGGCGTCCGAATAAAAATTATTCATAGTTTCTCAAATCAATGCAGGTTGTCTGGAATTTCCATCATAGTGGAACCTCACTATCATGAATTAAACAAATCTAACGTTTTACAGCATGCGAAATGGTTTGAAAGTAAAATGTAATACCAATACTTTAAGCATCATGCCTGAGTTTATTCGCCTGAGTTTTGCTTTGCAAAATTCAACTAAGCTAAAGGCACCGATGAGTTTTTAGGTTCAAAAATTAATTGCTTTATATTTTTCATCATTGGATGGGATACTAACATGAGTGTACCTCATTAGGCATAAATACGTTAGGCATACGGACGTTAGGCATAATGGACGTTAGGCATAAAGTCATTAGGCATAATGGACGTTAGGCATAATATACGTTAGGCATAATGGACGTTAGGCATAAAATACCTTGCTGCTGTGTAACTCTAGAAAACTGTTTCGAGCATGGTAAACAATGCTTAAATTAAACTAAGCGTTGAATAAAAAATGATACAAGTTAAACAAACATAGTTTATTTAATAAGCACAGTTTGGAATCCATTATTTATCAAATCATAAGCTTTTTTTTTATTATAGTCACTTTAACACTCTTGGGTTATTCGTGACTTGTCCGAGGGTAAGATTTGAAATCGTGACTTTGGCGTGAGAGGCATGGATGTTAACCACTACGCCGGGGTCGCCCCCTCAAATCATAAGTGACGTAGTTACATATTTACTTAGATCCAAGATTAGTAGCGATAGCGGTTAAGTAATCTGGCAATAAAAACTCAGCATAGTTTTGAACTATATCTTGAAATCAATCGCATCTAAAAATAAAAAATACACATTTGTTGTAATATATTCCTACACACATATTGCAATTGTCAAAGAAGAAAAGGTTTTCCTCAAAGAACAGCTCATGAAATAAAGAATGGTGAGTTCTGTGATTTTTCATTTAATAACAAAAAAAACAGCTAAGGTTGAATAAAATATGATGCCAAAGAACATCTCATGAAATGAAGAATGGTGAATTCTGTGGTTTTTCATTCAATAACAAAAAAACATACCTGCTGCTGCCATACTTTTCGATACAACGATTCTGTCATCAGAATGAAAACTAGCCAAACCGTCTGCTAATGTAAAGGAGCGATACTTCCATGAACAGTGACGAGTTGCCGAAACAAACAAGGAACTGTGGCAAACGTACTATCTGTAACCCAATACTTTGCCTGTCCAAGACGTCGCAAGTTTTCATGAGTTCCAAAAATTAAGGCTCTTTCATTATTGTCACCGAAGTCAGCAATCAATAGACGGTCCCCATTATCATCCTTCTGGAATTCATCGAGTAGATTATGCCTAACGTCCATTATGCCTAACGTCCTTTATGCCTAACGTCCATTATGCCTAACGTCCGTATGCCTAACGACCGTATGCCTAACGTCCGTATGCCTAACGTCCGTATGCTTAACGTCCGTATGCCTAACGTCGTGTACCCTACTAACATAACATGCATAAGAAATCGATTGACGTTTGATGGTTTTTTTTTTTATATCAAGAGTGAATTTTCAAATAAC